TTTCTTCGGTGGTAATATACTACATGTGAAAAAAGGAATGTTGCATAGTGCAAATCGTATAACGATATATGTGGAAAATAAAGTGATGTGAGTGCGAGAACCTATAATACTACCGCATTGTCCGTTACTATCCGCTGTAGAAGATTCTAGATTTCGACTGCCCATTGGAATATTTGATCAACATTACTCTGAATAGGCAGCTTTTTAATAGTTTTTTCAGTTTTTCTTTGATCTTGACGTTCAATTGCAACATAAGTTATGTACTATCGCTATTACATTCTAAATTTTGATTGTGGATTAAGATATTTCATTACTCCTGCATAGAATAGATTGTTCTCCAACCAGTAGGGCAATTATTTTACGATTGAAGGTGCATATATGAAACAAAGTAACGGAAAAGCAAGTCCCTGTGAAATCGTTCTACAAAGTATACTTTATTCGTCTATATTTCTGAAATTACGTTTTCGGTTAGATTTTTTCGACATAGCAGCGTAAAGTAATTTTTCCCTTAACGGGATTTGATATTTTTTTTCGGTTTCGAGCGTGCGTTTTCGAGAAATAGTGCCGGAAGTGTCAGTGACTCTCAGCTCGTGCTCCGCAATTTACTTTTTTGGCTTCTAGTTTTTGAATTATGCTTTTTTAATCGGATTTTTCCACTGATTCGCATAGAGTGATTTTTTCCTTAACGGGATTGGATACCTTTTTTCGGTTTCGTGCGTGCGTTTTCTAGAAATAGTGCCGAAAGTGTCAGTGGCTCTCAGATCGTGCTGCGTAATAGACCTTTTTTGGCTTCTATTTTTTGAGTTAGGCTTTTTCGATCGGATTTTTCCACTGATTCGCGTAGAGTGAACTTTTCCGTAACGGGATTGGATACTTTTTTTCGGTTTCGAGCGTGCGTTTTCGAGAAATAGTGCCGAAAGTGTCAGTGGCTCTCAGATCGTCCTGCGTAATAGACCTTTTTTGGCTTCTATTTTTTGAGTTAGGCTTTTTCGATCGGATTTTTCCACTGATTCGCGTAGAGTGATTTTTTCCTTAAAGGGATTGGATATTTTTTTTCGGTTTCGAGCGTGCGTTTTCGAGAAATAGTGCCGAAAGTGTCAGTGGCTCTCAGATCGTGCTGCGTAATAGACCTTTTTTGGCTTCTATTTTTTGAGTTAGGCTTTTTCGATCGGATTTTTCCACTGATTCGCGTAGAGTGATTTTTTCCTTAAAGGGATTGGATATTTTTTTTCGGTTTCGAGCATGCGTTTTCGAGAAATAGTGCCGGAAGTGTCAGTTTCTGTCAGATCGTGCTGCGCAATTTACATTTTTGACTTCTAGTTTTTGAAATAGGTTTTTTCAATCGGATTTTTCCACTGATTCGCGTAGAGTGATTTTTTCCTTAACGGGATTGGATATTTTTTTTCGGTTTCGAGCATACGTTTTCAAGAAATAGTGCCGGAAGTGTCAGTTTCTGTCAAATCGTGCTGCGCAATTTACATTTTTTACTTCTAGTTTTTGAAATAAGTTTTTTCAATCGGATTTTTCCACTGACTCGCGTAGAGTGATTTTTTCCTTAACGGGATTGAATATTTTTTTTCGGTTTCGAGCGTGCGTTTTCGAGAAATAGTGCCGAAAGTGTCAGTGACTGTCAGATCGTGCTGCGCAATTTACTTTTTTGGCTTCCTGTTTTTGAAATAGGCTTTTTCAATCGGATTTTTCCACTAATTCGCATAGAGTGATTTTTTCCTTAACGGGATTGGATATTTTTTTTCGGTTTCGAGCGTGCGTTTTAGAGAAATAGTGCCGGAAGTGTCAGTGACTGTCAGATCGTGCTGCGCAATTTACTCTTTTGGCTTCCAGTTTCTGAAATAGGCTTTTTCAATCGGATTTTTCCACTAATTCGCATAGAGTGATCTTTTCCTTAACGGGATTGGATATTTTTTTTCGGTTTCGAGCGTGCGTTTTCGATAAATAGTGCCGAAAGTGTCAGTGGCTGTCAGATCGTGCTGCGTAATAGACCTTTCTTGGCTTATTTTTCCGAAATTGGGCTTTTTAATTAGGATTGTTGCATATATCCACGTGCAGTGAATTTTTCTTTAACGTGGTTGTAGAGTTAATGGATGCCAATAATTATATTTTATAGCGACAAAAATTTGAAGCAGCAATACAAATATGTTATGATATGCGTATTGAATTCTAGGTTGGCTAACCATATGTCATTCAAGATAGAAATCTTTGATTGTGAAATAAAGATTGAGAAAATAGAAATGGCTTAGGCTGACAAAAAGGAATAAAATTAATTTAAGTGATGGCCTCTTGTAGCAACTAGATATATAGAATTCAGTGAGATTGAAAGGTATGTTGTATTCTTTATCTAAATAAATATTAATATCAGTGATCAAAGCGAATGATCATTGCCAATGTTTTAAATTTCAGAGTGATGGAGCCAAGGTATATAAAGAAAGGAGAGAGGTTTGAATGAAAGCAGTGAGAAGAAGAAATCTATATTATGTCAAATCAAGAAACATAAAAGAGGCAGCATATGTATCAACAGAGAAGAATGTGTGCCATTGACATGGAAATATGAGGATCAGTGAGGAGATGGTGTATAAGCTCTTGGTAATGTCTATAAAAATTAAAGATAAATTGAATATAAAGTGTAAATATTGCATTAAGTCACAAATGGGTAGAAATATCTATAGCAATTTGGAAACTATAAAGGCAGCAGGAAAAGCAGGAATAATGGGACTGTGACACATGGAATTCATTGGACTAATAAAACCAACATTAAAAGCAGATAAAAGGTATGACTTACCTGCTTATGATTATTCGAAGAAAGAACCATTTGGTTGACTGATTTGTAAATGACTAAAGATGTAATATGAAATATTATTGATGAAGGATTTTCTTTATTATAGGAGACTTTCAAACATGAGTAATATTTATACGCAAGAGCATATACACGTACAATTTTTGGTAAAGTTACTGGAGAAACTATATATAACATGCTTAAACTTGAAGAATCACTTGTAGATGAGGTAAATTTAATGTTTACAGGAAAATATATCAAGAATTGTTATAAATATAATATTTCCTTTTTTTTGTAGAATGATAGACCATTTTATCCTCCAAGATTGATAGAAACTATAATATTGAACAATCCATTTTCTGATATTACACCAAGAATGATAGTACAGGAAAATGAAGAAGTAAACGACAGTTCAAAAACTAAAACAGCAGCAGTAAAGTAGAAATCATATATGTTTGCCGAATTTAGCCCTGATAGTATTATTCTTTGCAATGAAAAATTTTGTTACAGTGATTTCAATCTTTTATCATTTGGTGAAGGAGCAGAGGAAGATGAAGAAGAATCGGTAATATTCAATAAGAAGTTTAATGGTAAGGGCAATTCAGCTTGTGATCATTTAACTGATCCAAAATTAAGCTCACAACCAGCTGTTGAACCACCTGGACTTGCAAATAAAAAAAGAAAGGAAGACCATAGTAACGATTGAGAAAGTGACGGCTAAGTAAAAACTCAAGAAGAATTATAAGTTATAAAGAAAGAGAAAGAGTTAGTTTATTGTTTACATTATAACTATGTTATATAGAAAGTAGGATTTTTTATTGACTGTTTTATATTCATATTTTCAGAGCAATGTAGAAAGGATAAAAAATAAATTGAGAGATACAAAAGAAGAACCGAAGAATTATGTCGTTAACAATTAACGTATATATGTGTAACTTTCAAAGTGAATAAAAAGTACCTAAGCACATAACCATTGTAGTTTCATTTTCTTTTTACCAAGAATTATCAATTCGGCAGCAGAAAATTAATAAATTTCTAAGTTTCTGTAATTAATTCATGAACATTTATAGCTACACAAGAAAGGTGAAATTATAGTAACATTCTTATACAATGTTTAATTTAATAATTAATACTTACATGAGTGATAGGTTTTGTATTTCCTATATCTAATGGTTACTTAAATTTTCGTTCTCTTTCTGTAGTAAATAAGATTGCTATAGAAAAGTATTTTTCTTGCATAATATTTTTATTATTTTGTAATAAATATATACTAACATAAGAAAGCTTAAAAAATAAATTTTTTTATTTACAATGTTTTTATAAGCAGAAAATGAATACAAAATACAAAATAGATTGAAAAAATGACTACCAATTATGGATAGGTACGACCCCGGATCTCCGGTCTAGGAATTCTCGATTGTCGCCATTAAACCACGACTCCACTTGGAAAATTGTGGAAATGAATCCATAATTAAAGTAATTCTTCTGTATACTATACCATTAAGAAGTAATGAAACTTTAATTATAAATATCTCAAGAACTATTAAGTAGTTGTGTCTGTAATGATATATATTCTTGAACTGCATGACGAAATCTACAAACCTGCAAAGTTTTAACTAAATCGGTGACCCGAAGGACTTGCACTTTCCTTGTAAGTAAATTCATCGAAGTTTACATAGGCTTCTCATTCACATAATCTGGCATGTAATTAAATTTCCATAAATGAAGAAAAACCTTTTTTACTTATTGAGTGTTATTCGTCTTTAAATTGTTATAAAATACTGTTGATTATTTTTTGTATTGATATTTTTAAATGAAATTTAAATAAATCTTGCGATTACAGCCTTTTAATATGCTTTGTGTAACAATTAATTAAATTTCAGAATTTAATTTAACTAAAAGTAATAATAATTTATAAAATACGAAAACATAATACATGTAATATATTTGAATAATTGAGATTGTATCAGTGGAATCCATTATGTATCATTAAATTAAATTATCATAAGTACTGGTTAATTTAAATTAAATTATAATCAATATGAATGTGTATGCATCCTATTTATAACACAGAGATCTTGGTTCAATTGTTATACCGTTATATAAAATTCTATTTACAGTAATACCATCATCGTCGATCTTACGCGTGCAGAATTTCGGATATCTTTCTTAGTGCGCAATAATTGTTTACAGTAGGTTGGAGTATGACATGAGAAATAAGATGAATCATTGTAATAATAGCCATAAATTCAAACGGACGGTAAGTAAGATAAGTAACATTTATCAGAAGACAACTATATAAAAGTATCTCGAAAAAATTTAGAACAGTCAAGTCCAACATCATATTACCGACACATGTGTGTCTAAAGAAAATTTGATAAAAATGAAAGGTAATTTTGAAAAATTAAATAATCACTTTAATTGGAGAAAATCATAAATTAATAATAAAATGTATTTTAACACCAAGAATCTTTCTAATCTCATATAACAACATTTGATTAAAAATTGTTTAAAATTCATTGTTCTTGGAACCAATATTTCATAATAAACTGTAGGTTCGTTAATTTAAAAATTTTATAATCGTAACATTAACTCGATACCGAATGAAAACTGATTTTGATTATTCAAAGAAAAGTGGAAGAAATTAGAAATGAATTAGTTTTAACGTGCAATTAAATTCTGAATTCGTTATCAAACAATAATATTCATTTATATTTAATAGGCATCATCCACATTTTGCTCGTCTTTTGGATCTTTCACGTTCACGGTGTTCCTCTAGAACACACCCAACAGGAAATCGAATCACATATCAATTATCCGCATTGGTTCTTGAGAAACTGGAGACATCGTGTCGAAAGGAACATCAATGAAGATCAGCAAATAGCTTTGACTCCCTTGAGTTCACCAACTGACTCCGATCACAGCGAAGTGACCTCATCTCGTAGAAAAAATTTGAGCGAGGACAGTCACAGCGATAGTGATTCTGACAATACCTTAGAGAGTACTTCTGACAGTGAAAAAGATTCTGTCAATACTTCAGAGAATACTTCCGACAGTGAAAAAGATTCTGACAATACTTCAGAAAACTCTTCCGACAATGAAAAAGATTCTGCTGATACAAATTCAACAGATGAGACCGAATCTTCAAATAATGATTCATCTGATGAAAATTTGTCTAATCAAGACTCATCTGATCAGAACTCATCTGATCAAAACTCGTCTAACGTATCAAGCAGTAATGAAAATACTATCCAAGGAAGTAGGAGTCGCAAACGTTCCATTCTTTGGTGGGATTCTGGCAATGAATCGGAATCTGCCGAGCAAGAATTCAAGGATTTCCTGAAGAACGCGTTAAAAAGAAAGACAAACTACAATGTTATAAAACGGATGCTACAAAATTATAAACTCAGTAAGAAACAGAATAGTTCAAAAATGGTTATTTATTATAACAGACTGTATAGATGGAATAGAGCCAGATATTTCGAATGGAAGAGGAAACTAGAACAAAAGACACGACTGTTGAAAGAAAAAGAAAATTTAAACATGGAAAAATTAAGAAATATTTGTAACCTATCGAAGGAGACTGACAAAGAAGTGCAAGAAGATCGAATAAAAGAATGTATAAGAGAATGTATAGCTACGAACGAAAAATTTAATATCACTACAGATTTATCGATCGAACGTACGGTATCAGCTGATGGAAAGAACATAAACAAGTCGATACAAGTGCTGTATGAGAATGGCCATAAGTCTATAATTATTGTGGAATCAGTTCTTGAAACAGATAAACCAACAGGGAGTTGGACAGAGGGACCTGAATGGAGTGAAACACCTAGTGGTACCGCGGAATCCAGTACACCGAGCGAGCAAACTGGAACATCTACCCAACAAACACAAACGTGGACTTGGACGGAGGGACCGCAATGGAGTGAAACAACCAGTGGTACCTCGGAATCAGCTACACCGAGCGAGCAAACTGGAACATCTGCCCAACAAACACAACCATGGAGTTGGTCAGAGGGACCACAGAGACACGAAACACCCAGTGGTACCGCAGAATCAGCTACAGCAAGCAAGGAAACAGGAACATCTGCCCAACAAACACAATCGTGGAGTTGGTCAGACGGACCACAGGGAAGTGAAACACCCAGCGGTACCAAGGAATCAGCTACACCGAGCCAGGAAACAGGAACATCTGCCCAAAAAACACAAACGTGGAATTGGACAGAGGGTCCACAATGGAGTGAAACATCTAGTGGTACCTCGGAATCAGATACACCGAGCGAGGGAACAAGAACATCTGCCCAACAAACACAAACGTGGAGTTGGTCTGAGGGAACACAATGGAATGAAACAACCGGTGGTACCACGGAATCAGCTACACCGAGCGAGGGAACAAGAACATCTGCCCAAGAAACACAAACGCGGAGTTGGTCTGAGGGTCCACAATGGAGTGAAACATCTAGTGGTACCTCGGAATCAGTCACACTGAGCGAGCAAACAGGAACGTCAGCGCCACAGACACAAACGTGGACTTGGTCGAAGGGACCTATCTGGAGCGAAACACCTACTGGTACTTCGGAATCAGCTACAACGAGTGAGCAAACAGGAACATCTTCCCAACAAACACAAACGAGGAGTTGGTCGGAGGGACCACATTGGAGTGAAACAACCAGTGGTAACACGGAATCAGCTACACCGGGTGAGGGAACAGGAACATCTGCCCAAGAAACACAAACGTGGACTTGGTCTGAGGGAACACAATGGAATGAAACAACCGGTGGTACCACGGAATCAGCTACACCGAGCGAGCAAACTGGAACATCAACACGACAGACACAAACGTGGAGTTGGTCAGAGGGACCACAGAGACACGAAACACCCAGTGGTACCGCAGAATCAGCTACAGCGAGCAAGGAAACAGGAACATCTGCCCAACAAACACAAACGTGGAGTTGGTCAGACGGACCACAGGAAAGTGAAACACACAGCGGTACCAAGGAATTAGCTACACCGAGGCAGGAAGCAGGAACATCTGCCCAAAAAACACAAACGTGGAATTGGACAGAGGGTCCACAATGGAGTGAAACATCTAGTGGTACCTCGGAGTCAGATACACCGAGCGAGGGAACAGGAACATCTGCCCAAGAAACACAAACGTGGAGTTGGTCGGAGGGACCACATTGGAGTAAAACAACCAGTGGTACCACGGAATCAGCTACACCGGGTGAGGAACCAGGAACATCTGCCCAAGAAACACAAACGTGGAGTTGGTCGGAGGGACCACATTGGAGTAAAACAACCAGTGGTACCACGGAATCAGCTACACCGGGTGAGGAACCAGGAACATCTGCCCAAGAAACACAAACGTGGAGTTGGTCGGAGGGACCACATTGGAGTAAAACAACCAGTGGTACCACGGAATCAGCTACACCGAGCGAGCAAACTGGAACAGCAACACGACAGACACAAACGTGGAGTTGGTCAGAGGAACCACAGAGACACGAAACACCCAGTGGTACCGTAGAAACAGGAACATCTGCCCAACAAACACAAACGTGGAGTTGGTCAGACGGACCACAGGGAAGTGAAACACCCAGCAGTACCAAGGAATCAGCTACACCGAGGCAGGAAGCAGGAACATCTGCCCAAAAAACACAAACGTGGAATTGGACAGAGGGTCCACAATGGAGTGAAACATCTAGTGGTACCTCGGAATCAGCTACACCGAGTGAGGGAACAGGAACATCTGCCCAAGAAACACAAACGTGGAGTTGGTCTGAGGGAACACAATGGAATGATACAACCGATGGTATCACGGAATCAGCTACACCGAGCGAGCAAACAGGAACATCTTCCCAACAAACACAAACGTGGAGTTGGTCGGAGGGACCACATTGGAGTGAAACAACCAGTGGTACCACGGAATCAGCTACACCGAGCGAGGGAACAGGAACATCTGCCCAAGAAACACAAACGTGGGGTTGGTCTGAAGGACCACAGGGAAACGAAACACCCAGTGGTCCCACAGAATCAGCTACCCCGAGCGAGCAAACTGGAACAGCAACACGACAGACACAAACGTGGAGTTGGTCGGAGGGACCACATTGGAGTGAAACAACCAGTGATACCACGGAATCAGCTACCCCGAGCGAGCAAACTGGAACAGCAACACGACAGACACAAACGTGGAGTTGGTCGGAGGGACCACATTGGAGTGAAACAACCAGTGATACCACGGAATCAGCTACCCCGAGCGAGCAAACTGGAACAGCAACACGACAGACACAAACGTGGAGTTGGTCGGAGGGACCACATTGGAGTGAAACAACCAGTGATACCACGGAATCAGCTACCCCGAGCGAGCAAACTGGAACAGCAACACGACAGACACAAACGTGGAGTTGGTCGGAGGGACCACATTGGAGTGAAACAACCAGTGATACCACGGAATCAGCTACCCCGAGCGAGCAAACTGGAACAGCAACACGACAGACACAAACGTGGAGTTGGTCGGAGGGACCACATTGGAGTGAAACAACCAGTGATACCACGGAATCAGCTACCCCGAGCGAGCAAACTGGAACAGCAACACGACAGACACAAACGTGGAGTTGGTCGGAGGGACCACATTGGAGTGAAACAACCAGTGATACCACGGAATCAGCTACCCCGAGCGAGCAAACTGGAACAGCAACACGACAGACACAAACGTGGAGTTGGTCGGAGGGACCACATTGGAGTGAAACAACCAGTGATACCACGGAATCAGCTACCCCGAGCGAGCAAACTGGAACAGCAACACGACAGACACAAACGTGGAGTTGGTCGGAGGGACCACATTGGAGTGAAACAACCAGTGATACCACGGAATCAGCTACCCCGAGCGAGCAAACTGGAACAGCAACACGACAGACACAAACGTGGAGTTGGTCGGAGGGACCACATTGGAGTGAAACAACCAGTGATACCACGGAATCAGCTACCCCGAGCGAGCAAACTGGAACAGCAACACGACAGACACAAACGTGGAGTTGGTCGGAGGGAACACAATGGAATGAATCAACCAGTGGTACTACGGAATCAGCTACACCGAGCGAGCAAAGTGGAACATCAACACGACAGACACAAACGTGGAGTTGGTCAGAGGGGCCACAAGAAAGTGAAACACCCAGTGGTACAACGGAATCAGCTACACCGAGCGAGCAAACAGGAACATCTGCCCATGAAACACAAACGTGGAGTTGGTCCGAGGGACCTCAATGGCGTGGAACCACTAGTGGTACCTCGGAATCAGCTACAACAACGGATCTTATAACAGTAGCATCATCTTCTCAAAGTTCAGATTCTGATGTTACATTAACAGAGTCAACAACTCAAACATCACTTTCCATAAGTGTTAATGCTACAGTTCAAACCAATAATTCTATAAGTACCAATGAAACATCTTCTGACCGTGGCAACGTACAGACTGGTGAAGTATCAAGAAGTAAACAATAGGTAGATATTAACTTATGGTATGTCAATATTGTTATTTTCAAGTAATTACGTTTTATTAACAAAATGTTAAATTATAAATTCTTAGTTCTTTTGATGGAAACATTAGGACGATATTTGTTTTATTACAGGAGGAAGACCTGTTCTTCGATTAGTGCAATGTTTCTTCGTGAATTATCAGCAGAATGCAGATAGTGTAAATATTAAGAAACGAAATGCAACTCATATAGCAGTGTTCACTATTCTATCACTTCTGATTTAAATAATGAATAATAATTGCATATTTCATTCTGAAATATCAAATTGTTATTGTATCAAAGTAATTAATAAAGTAAGTAGTTAATAAATATTATACTGTAATACTATACTATACATGTTACTTACAATATTGATAATTACTACACATATTAATGTTACAAAAATTTTTAATAGCTAACAATTAATATTTTTTTTACTATTTATATATTTTTCCTTTATCTTTAATTACCTTTACTTCTATTTCTAATCTCACTGTCAAATTTTTAATATTAGTTATAGCATAATAAAATGATTATAAAGTAGGCTATGGAATAAAAGAAAATAGAAGTAATTATAGAATAATACAAAATATTTTATTAATGGTATAAATTATAATTTTTTATTGCAAAAGTGATGATAATTCTCATATTGACAATACAAAGCACTATTAGCCAATCAATCGTTAAAATCTTACGTCATATGTTTGAACGAATCTTCTAAATATTTGTTGAAAACGATAGCTTGGTGTAATACGTATTTACAACATGCCCCTATTTGTCGCGACGAAAGGCATATGGTATTTATCTATATCATTCGTCACACGATATGAAAGATAAACTGTGACGAGTTACTGTTGAACGACTTGATTTATAGAATTCATCGTAGTAAATGCCAAAAATGGTCGTTTCCTTCATCCATTCACAACGATGGGCTATTTTGAAAAATCACTCTAAGCATCTATCTTACAAAATCCATCTCCATTCTTTGAAAAGGAATTCGTAATACTTTTTAAAACATTTGAAAACCTTTTCTTTTACTAAAAAAAAACTAACAAATATCGATTCAAACGATACTCCTAATAAAATTCGAAACTAAATAAAAATCTCATTGAAACTTTTAACTTTTTCATAGGTTTCTAATTTTTATGTCTTCGGAATAATAATTTAGTAAACTCAAACAAAAATGACTCGAATTGTAGAAATATTCTTTATGGTGGAAATCAAGATGAGATAGTAATAGGGTAATAAATTGCATGTGAAGTATTCCTAAGTACAGTTTACTATATTTTCAAGAAGGATAGAAAAACTATAAGAATATTCAGGAAATATCAGTGGGGACGGTAATGAAAGTTAGGGTATTGAGATATTATTAAAACGGTACTTGAAATTTATAATACTGTCTTATAAGAGCTGAGCTAATTTTTCATAGCTAACCTGGCCTCTGTAATCCACCTTTCAGAGGAATCATGGTTCAACGAGTTACAATGTATAGGCAAAGGTCAAAATCCCAGGCAAAACATTTATTGTTAGTTTTGACTGCGAACTAATAGACATTGAGCAATTGGATATTAATTTTATTGACTCATACCGAGATTTTCTCATAGAAATCATTTACATAAGACCCATATAAAGAGCTAAACAAATTATTTAATTTTTTCCTCTTATTTCTGGTTAATCTGACTTTTTCCCATGAATGTGTACTTTCATTTTATTGATAATTAATTCAACATTTTATTGATAATTAATTCAACATTTTATTAATAATTAAAATTCATTTTAATTATTATTATTATTCATTTTATTGACTCATAACGAGATTTTATCATAGAAATTATTTACATTAAACCCATATAAAGAATTAAACATATTACTTAATTTTGTTTTTCTTATTTCTGGTTAATCTGACTTTTTCCCATGAATTTGCACTTTGATGGTGTTTGTAATCATGAATCGGCCTAACGTTTCAACGTCCAATTTTGCTCATTACATAAAATCTAATCTCGTGTCGCTTAGATACAGGGAATATTAGCATAGATAGAAGTTCAAGACCCAAACAAACATTATCTGTCAAATACCGATGACTATTATTGCTGTAATAGCCGTCCTAAATATACATACATATTTAATCAACTTTGATTCTCAAGCTTGCTGGTAATTCAATTAAAATTCGCCAAAAATAAAATCCAATATTGGAACGTAACAAATCTGGACACGTGAAATATTCAATAACCTTCACATCGTCGTATAAATTAAATTATTAAGTATTGCCATTATTCGAATATTAAATACTTGTTAAATTTAATAATACAGAATTGCTGAGTTATTATTACCAGTAAATATATTATTAAAACATATAATTACATTCATTAAATTACACTGTATAAATTATTATATTACAACATTTTTTATATTCTTTTAACAATGTAGTTACATAGTGATAAATATTACTACTATTATTGTATAGAATATTATATTACAATATTCTTCCACGATCTCCTAGCAACGTTCACGTATATACTTTTCTCGTATGGTACGTTGAAAGAACCTCAGCGACCTACGAGTTAATCGATCGTTAATCATTCGTCATCGTATATACATATATTCCAAAGCACACGCGAAAGTTGGATCGTGTCCAGGAAGAAATCCGGCTTTCCTATCGCCGTTCACGCGTGTACACATTGTTAGCACGGAAGCAATCGATCTTCGTAACGTTGGACTAGCAGATTCCAATGGCAAACTCGAGCAAAAGCAGCAAGATGCTCGTGAGATCATACACACCAAGTTAGAAAGAAATTTTCTGAAAGAAATACGGTCTGATTGATTATAATACGGTAAATTCACCTGTTTCTGCACATAAAGCATTTTATGAAATATTCCAAATATTATACTCACGAATTTTCATTAACACCAAACAGAAACGAACACATCTATCTTACCAAATCATACCGAGTCACATTGCGTGACGAGGACAACAAATAGCACTGTACATACATCGTAACTACATATTATAGTCACAAAGAACGATAGAAGGGTATAACGGAGACCTAGTACCAGTGATTAACGCGAGATCACCGTGAGATGAAAAGAAGAGCGATTACTATGAAAGTATTGACACGCAAGACTCCTTCTCAGCTCCACACGCTACTACCGAACATCGTAACCACCTAAGATAAATCCATATAGAGCGACAGAAAGCAATAGCGTAGACCTGGCACCGACGATCAGCGCGAAATCACCGTGAGATAAAGGAACAACTACTATGAAAGCATCGACACGCGAGGTTTCTCCTCAGCTCCACGCGCTACTACTAAACATCATCAAAGAGTGACAGAGAACAACAACGTAAGCCTGATACCAACGATTAACACGAGATGATCGCGACGTGAAAAAGACTGCGACCAGTATGAAAGTGTCTACACGCGAGGCTTCTTCTCAGCTCACTACTATTTCGAAGCTGGTTCACCGCATCGTCTCGTTCCCATTGTCGGCCACGTAACGGAGCGTTCGCGTAACGCGTGTCCGCTTAACACTGGCCGCCAATCCGGCCCGCAGTCATCCTGAAGCCATCGGTTGGTACAGTGTCCGTGACACGTCCTATATCGGCCAGTGATATCTCGACCTGTCCTCGATCGGGTCAGAGTGCGCATTTACGGCTCCCCAACAAAGACCAGCCAGTCGTGTCGACAAACTGGAACGCGACGCGGCGAACCTCTGGCTCGGCAGCAATCGGTCCTACGTGTATCCGAGTTTCGTGATAATCAAATCGTTATTTCCCATTTCCGCTATCGTGAACGCAACGAGGGCGACAGATGTGCCGATATCGAAATCGGTTCATCGATAACATCGGTCCACCATATTTTTCGCCGTCGATCAACCTATAACACGAGATCGAGAGTCCACTAGGTCAGTGCTACTGAATGGGACAGGTGGTTCGGATCACGGCGTTTTCACAGTCAGGCAGGTAGGCTTCTCTAGCGTAAGGACGCAGGATTTTCGCTTTCGACAAGATGTGGTCGATTTTGCTGACCTTGGCAGTGACCGGTATTCTTGGAGAAGTGGTCAACGTCCATGTGAACAATGTGAGTAGCTCGTGAAAAATTATTCTTCCTGATATGGTCATTGTTTTCATAGTTTTAAGCATCGAGTTTCACCTGTCGTTGGAAGAAGAAACGCCATGTGTCGGAATTTAAAGGACTCCAGCTGCAAAATGTGCAATTGGTGTATTTATCAGAAAAAAAATTGTATCTTATGTTTTCTGAAAAATTCGACAACCTGGTCGACTGGTAATGAGAAGAATACACGCTCGGAATTTTGAAGGACAATATTTCGAAAATTGAAATATACCACATGCCGCGTCTTTCCTTACAATTACGGATATTTGAGTGTATAATTATGTAAATGCGTGTTTAGCAATATTGTCAGTTTGAAAATTGAAAGTGCGAGAGCAAAGAAGATCGTTCGAATTTTATAAAACACTTGAAGTTGAACTTTGTGACTGTGTTATAAAAATCTTTAGATAAAAGTCACGCTCTTGCGTATTTTCTTCGATACTCGCGAAAGATTAGCATATGCTCTAAACAGATTAACAGATTTTGAATTTTTACAAATTTTCGTAGCAAAATACCCGAGTGATGCTTGACTTTTTATATTACAAATAAATTTCTAGTTTTTGCTCTCTGAATTAATTGTTTAGCAAATGTGTGGCTCGTATGAATGCGAATTCAAATTAATTGCTAACGAAGCACCGATCCTGTGAAATTTCTGTTTATTTTTCCCGTCTCGTATTATTTGACAGAGTATAATTTTATTTGAAAATAACATTTTCAATCACCGGACCAATTGAACCATTGAAACCGAATATTTCTTGACGTTCGATACATTGCTTATTTTTTAATTGTAATTCTATACCAGGTGTTTTGTTACCTTTCAAGTGTCGAATGAAAATACAATTTAACTCTCGTCAAAAATTTCCACGAAACAGAAGACTCGGCAGTCTAATAGAAAAGATTCCCCAAATTTCTTGAAAAATTCCATCGTGGTTAAATAAAATAATTTTCTCATCGACGATCGCTTACTCTTCGTTTATAGTGAAGAAAACATTTATATTCTAAGAAGCAATTTGCTCGATATAGCATGCTCCAAAATCGTATGGCGTGCATGTTTAATCGGTGAAATTGATTAATGAAATAACGAAGACGAAAGACGGCTGGGACATAATTTCATTAAAAAAATTACAGATTCGGAAATTTACAATTTCAGAACACGCAATCGGAACTAGGCTTCGAAGTCGATTACGACAACAATCAATTTTTGCTCGATGGGCAACCCTTCCGATACGTGTCCGGCAGTTTTCATTACTTCCGATGTCCTAGACAATATTGGAGAAATCGTCTGAGAAAAATTAGGGCAGCCGGATTAAACGCTGTTTCAACGTGAGTTTCTTTATTTATTAAACGATTTAAATTCATTTAATCGTGTAAAAAAATATGAAATATAAATATAAAATATAAATTTAATACTTTTGATAAGAATTATTTTATCAGACGTTCCTTATTGATGTTTCGTAATTTTATTTTTTCTATAGTTACGTAGAGTGGAGTCTTCATCAACCGACTGTTGATACATGGGACTGGTCAGGTGACGCGGATTTAGTGCAGTTCTTGAAAATTGCTCAAGAAGAAGGATTGTTCGTTCTTCTTAGGCCAGGACCTTATATTTGTGCCGAAAGAGATTTCGTACGTGTTTCTCTAAATTTTTAAAATTTCTATCGCAGTTCCATGGAGAAATTCATTATTTCGCGTATGCACTAAAAATGGACACAATTTTTTTTAGCATACGTTTCACCTGATATTTCATTCATATTTGTTCCGTGACATTTTATATTTAGGGTGGATTTCCATATTGGTTGTTGACACGAGTACCGGACATAAATCTACGTACAACTGACAAAAGTAAGGATTTTCTCCAACTTTTTATTATAACCTTTTCCTAATTTTCCTCTAATTTAGTTTTAATCATTAACAATTTTTTATTCTTCGCATCATAGGATATATGCTATACGTGGAAACATATCTAACCGAAGTATTTAAAAAGGTCAGTCCCTACCTGAGAGGAAATGGAGGGCCCATAATAATGGTTCAGGTACGTTCAGAATATCTCTGTCATCGAGATGAGTGGTAAAAAATGATTTCTTTGACCACAAAAATACTTCACTGAGAAAAACTCTAATTAACCTATTGCTTTATTCGTAAATTATTATTTGCTACTTGAAATTTCTTCGAAAGAAATATTTTCAACATTGTTATGTCACGTTGAAGAATTTCTCAGGCTCTGAATAACGAAGCGTTCCCACGGAGAGATATTTGAAATCGTTGAACTCGCTAATTAAAGTCGCGAACACAGCGAAGATGAAATATCATAGTAATTGTCGAATTTCGATAATATTTCAGGTGGAGAACGAGTACGGAAGTTACTCGTGCGACGTGGAATATATGACTCAACTGCGAGACATAATGAAGAAACATGTTGGAACTAAAGCTCTTCTATATACGACTGATGGGTCGATTGAAAATATGATACGTTGTGGATCTGTTCCAGGAGTTTACGCGACCGTCGATTTTGGAACCAACACGAACGTGACGAAAAATTTCGAGATAATGAGGAAATATCAACCACGGGTCAGTATGCATAAATAACTATCCAGCAATAATTTCGCAGATTATACATTGACATGGAACATCCACTGCAAATTATAAAACAAATATGTCATTTCATCGATTTTTAATTAAATATTTTATAATGCAATTGGTAAAGACATCTTAATGTTGTACGATAATTAACGAGTTTCGAAATCAAATTCTTTGATACACTGATACGTGGCATAACGTCGTAATGATATAACGCGAACCTCTTTTGTCAGATAAAATTATCTATAAATTTCTATGGTAATTAAATTAATAATCCACGTGCTTAATTTTAATTTCGATATGATTAATTTTTGTAGAATGATTATTATCCTTGTCATTTGAATATAACTATACAGAAACCGCAAATGTGACGCGACGATAGTCAAGTATGGTACACCGAGATATGCACATTCTTCTTCAAGGCTACGTCCGTTATTAAAGAATATCAGGCTCAACTGACGTATCGCGTAAGATCCTAATGATTAAGAAATCTGCCTGTAATATAAGAGACAGTAGGAACATGCAAGTATAAGCATAAGAGAGAATAGGTTTCAACTTGAACTATTTTTTCTGGCACGTTAATATCGAAATATAAATTAACTTAAATAGAAATTAATTACTAAACCAATCAAAATAACTGGTGCGAACGTGTTGTGCCATTTCGTGCCATTTCGTGCCATTTTGCTTTTGCAATCACAGAGGATATGCAACTGCTTTGAAGTAAAATTAATGATAATTTTTATTGAAGTAGACACGTAATATTCTACATATTTCCTTTCATTATAATTTTTTAAATATTATCTGAATACACATTTTAGATTGATAGTTCTAATGTTAATACATTCTGTCATCTACATTTATGGACTCTGGAGCATAATTTTCCTAATTTTAAATTGCTACATTCTCTCGATTAGAAAACAATTGTATAATTACAGGAATTGATTAAATTTAGCAGAATTCTTCAGAAAAGATAATTCACACGAAAATGAATAAAATGTATAGAAATATCGTTACATAAATGAAGTGTCAGGAGAAAACGGGAGCAACGAACTTTTGAAATACTTCGTTTCTTATTTATCCTCTCTAAAGATTCAGCAATCAAATTGAATAACAATTAGGGGTCATTATTTAATTTGATAAGTTTCGTTTCGTTCCAGGGCCCGTTAGTAAATTCTGAATTTTATCCAGGATGGTTGACACACTGGCAAGAACCATTTCAAAGAGTGAAAGCTGTAGCAGTTGCAGAAACACTGAATGAAATGCTGTCTCTAGGTGCCTCTGTGAACATGTACATGTTCTATGGTGGTACAAATTTTGGTTACACTGCTGGTAAACATCTTTCTATCATAAAATTGTATATTAGATTCTTATTCACAGAAATCTTTGAAATATATAGCAACGTCATTAAATATTCTATATATATTATATATAAATTTCTCTACCAAAAGACATGAAGAAGTCTCGATATTAAGAAATTAAATATCTGCCAAATATTATCGTATTACATACAATAACTGACAAAAATATTTAATTTCCAATTTTATTTCAATCGAGATCATACGTCGATAACAATTTTTTCACAAAAATTTAATAAGATTTTATTTTATGAACCGCAGTACATGTCCAGTATGTTTGTCCAGTGGATTTTCATTTTCACAGACTCTAGATAAACTCAAAACGCGATAATAGGCTACAATAGCATATATATGATAAAATAATACTTTCTATTTTTGGAGACTGCGCTAAATCATATATACGATTCCACAGGTGCTAATGGTGGTGAGAACACGTACAGCCCACAATTGACTTCCTATGATTACGACGCCCCATTAACCGAGGCTGGTGATCCAACACCGAAGTACTTTGACATTAGAAATGTAGTATCCAAGGTACGTACCTATATTCAATGTATAATTACTGATGGCAAAATAGCGAGGTCTTGAAATTTTAATCGTCAGTTGCGATTGGCAGTTCGATTATATTTTTCATAATGTTATTTTCATCGACTCAAAGGACCTTTACACAATTGTAAGCAATCAAAGATCAAAGAGTAATTATATAAGGGAAAAAACTGTCAATTAATTTTTTATTTTAATTTATTACTGATTTATTTGCTTTCCTATTGCATATCTTTCCTTTTATAGATTATCATCTTAATCTTAATCTTGGTAATCTTATCACTAGTGATCTCAACGATTTTTCTTCAATCGATCTTCTTTTAATCGTAAAGACATCTGTAAAAAATTTATAAAAATGCGGATCGTACAATCTATTAGATAACAATAAAAAAATTAAATAAAAAAGATAAAAAGTATTAAAAATAAAAGTAGAAATCGAAACTTCTAACAAGATCAGTTAGAAAGAAAACAATTTGCGAACAATATCACTCGTTAAAACATTGCAATATCTAGCATACCCAAAAGCGAGAAGTATCCGAAGAGAAATACCTAATATGATTTTCAACAATTGTTCTCACCGCAATTAACCAATAATATCTCTTCGTTTTTATTTTTATTTTTACAGTATTTGCAACTGCCAAACATGACCGTTCCCACAGTGTCTCCAAAGGGAAATTATGGTCCGGTTGTTTTGTCTCCTATTCTGAAGCTACTCGAAGAGACTGGACGACAGTTATTCGGAACAGCCGTCGTACAAACATCAGATCCATTAACATTCGAAGCTCTTGGACTGCCTCATTGGCTGGTGCTATATGAAACTAACGTAGAACCTAAGCAGCAGTACCCTTCTGATCCCGCCATCTTACACGCGATGGTTCGAGACAGAGGCTTAGTCTACGTGGACGATTACCTCATTGGAACTCTAAGTCGCATCAATAATATATACGACTTAGTTGTGGAGCAGCCTTATGAACAAAAACTAGGAATACTGGTCGAAAATCAAGGAAGATTGAACTATGGGTTTGGACTTCACGATTTTAAGGTCAGTTCGTCTAGTTCCTGTTCCCTTGACTTTCTGCTCTTTACTATCAGCTGTTAACACGTTAGCCGCCATGGTAAGTCAACGAATCTGGCCAGAAATGTCAAATCGTTCAACACGCTTGATAGTTATGGCTCTCGTGGCTTTCTTGGTATCAGTGTATTACAATATGAACCTTCTAAAATAATTAGTTTATCTATCTATCAAGATATACCATTTTTCCCAGGGTTCTACCTATGAAACTCTTTCTTTGTCTTGAAAGAGAGATTCGAAGAGATTTAAAAAGAGCATAAATCTCCCTTTAACCAAATCTTCTCGATTTGTCAAGTAATATCACCCACGATACAAACGCAGAACTTTTATAGGATCAAACGATTAATGATAAATTTTCTTTATTACTCTCATTCACCGTTTATCCTTCTCACCAACAGGGACTCTCAAACGTATCTCTGAACAATATTCCCTTTGGTCTCTGGAGAATGACTGGATTCCGGCTGGACAGTGTCAAACCGCTTTTTTACGTCGAATCCAACGTATCTGCCAGTGGAACGCTTTACGACGGTCCAGTGATCCTTCGAGGAGGGTTTACGATCTCTGATCAACCGATGGACACCTACCTGAACACTGCTGGTTGGGGTAAAGGAGTTGCATTCGTGAACGGGCGCAATTTGGGCCGATATTGGCCATTGGTGGGTCCTCAAATTACTCTCTACGTACCAGCAGCTTTCTTAAGGACAGGTGATAACGAGTTGGTGCTGATCGAATTGGAATATGTGCCGAACAGTAAGAGGATGAGGTTACAGAACGAACCGATCCTAAACCTGGAGCAATATTCCGTCAGAGAGGAAACCTCAAATAATATACGCGTTTCGGTTTAGTGATTGCTTGTGAAAGAAATTGGCTTTCAGAGAGATTCTGATCTTCTTCCTTTTTAAGACGATTACAAACTTTACGACGATCATCGTGCACTGTTGTTTAGTGAGAAATTGAACGAGAAAATAAATTTTGTACTGTTCCAGTGTGACGTTTCATTAATATATATATTATCCCACTGTCTGTTTTACTATTTTTACACAGTTTAACAAATTTTACCTTCGTCTCAAATCTGTAATATCCACTGATTAAATCTTGTAGAGCTTAACTTCGCGAAAAATATCAGTGTTACTAAAGGAGCTCGATTATTGAATAAAGTGAAGGATTATACGAAAACTAAAAAAGTTAGAAGGTTGATCCTTGTGTTAAAATTTAGGTAGAGTATCTGGAGTTTATAAATATTCATAGTTATTATTCATAACTTTGAATAACTATACTTGATCATCAAAGTTTAAAAATAAGCCTACAAACGTGCATTCGACGCACTATTCTTGCATTTCAACAAAAAGTTTTTTATCTGATACGAATTTGCTATACGATGTCGTATTCTGTAGACCATCCCAAAGAAGAAATTATGAGACAGAATTGTAAAAGCAGTTTATAATTCGACTAGATGGAGAAAACATTCGTATAGTAAACCACGCAGCCACTGCCCGCTTGCCTAGCCACGACAGTGCCGTAACTACGCGTAATTCGAATATCAAGTGCAACAGAGTTAACATAGAATTGTCTACGTAAACAGAAATGGATTATGACTTTATAGATAAACGACATAGGTGTATGTGTATCTCTTGCTTGCATTTACAGTGGCGTCATTTATTCAATGTTACGATGTTCATTTAAATTTTAAACAATCAATAATATATTAACTAATAATAAAAGTATTATTAGTGAAGATAAATTACCAAATTTAATAATAAATATTGTATACGTAAAATTACTGTATGATCTTTTATGATGTGGTAAAAATAGTAAAGGAATAAAAAGAAATGTCTAATATGTTCAGTAATATACGATACATAGTTCAAATCCCATTAATAAATAAACTCAATATACATCTAATACAACCTGTTGATACGGCACTACTTCCTTCAATAAATTAGACAAGGATAGAATTAGAGCGACATTTGATCGATTGTAAATGGCGAATGAATCTGTACTTGGAGAAAATGACGAAACACTGCGGGAGTAATGGAAACAAAGGAGACCTCGAGTGAGGAATGTAAGGTGAATTAAATGGTGTGTGGGTTGTGCATGTTTTAAGTAAAAAAATAAATCAACAGGTTATGGATTGTCAACAGAATGAAGAACACGTGTTTGAGTGCAGAGAACAAAATTTGAGAAAGAACTTGGAAGTATCAATAGATGAAAGGATGGAGATGGATATCATACTTGAAAATTTACAGTGGTCTTCACGCTATGGTCTTAAGGTTTGTACTGACATATAATGAAAGAACTAAGAAATGTAGGAAACTGCGAACAAGATTGGTTAACAATGTGTAATTACAAAATATGATAGTTTCAATCGTAGGGAAGGTATTATTACTTGATACCCTGTACGTCAAGTTATGAGACATGGACAAAATTAAGCAATATCTATGAGAAGGATACAAAACAGCAAAACATGATACAGTAATCCACACTACGTGGCTGACAGGTAAGTTTTCAAATTACATTCATTAGGACGTAAAATGGAATAAACAATGTTTATAACTAAAATCTTATGTACATTGTCAGATCGTGTATTTGCAACTGTGTGGGCTTAATGCAGAAAGAAGAAAGGAAAATAGATAATCTCACAACTCAGGTGATTGTCAAGAAAGCAAGATCATCAAAATAATCTATAGCCTGCAAAGCTCAAGAGAAGAGGTATTTCAAATGTAACTACAGCATACATATTGCAAGTGCATGTTGGAAAAACCAAAAAGGTAACAAAGAAATTAAATATTTTAGTTGTGATTAGAATTAGGATAAAAATCAGAAAAATTTCTAGGATTAGGAAGAAAAGGCGAGACTCAAGAAGTGTGCTCTCTGTGTGGGACATGTAAGAAATCTAATCATTTGGAAAAAGACTGTTATTTTAAAAACATGAAGGAAAGCAAAGGAGATCAAGAAGAAAAGAAGAAAGTGAGCTTCTTGACAGAGAACAATGGAACAAAACAATGGATTTTGGACTCAAGAACAACCAGCCATATGGTGAAGAAGCTAGAATATTTTAAGGAATAAGAAACAATAAGAACAGAAATTGAATTAGCAAAAGGAAACATTTTCATGGAAACTATAGCAAAAGGTAGAGTTGAGTTAGATAGCTGTATATTTAAAAATGTTCTGTATGTTTCAAACTTGAGACAGAATTTAATGTCAATACATCTGATAACTCAAAAGGGTGGTAAGATAATGTTCTTAAAACATAATGTAATAGTTTGTAAGAAGGAAGAAATAGTATTGGAAAGGAAGACGTGTATTAATGGATTTTATGGTGGAGATGAATCAAAAGGAAAAATACAGGCTAGAGTATTACTAGTAGAGAGGAACAAGAAGCTGGTAGTAGTGTAGAAAATTGGGCCATCTACGTATAGAAAACAAGAGAGAGTTGTCCAAGAAAACATTGGGAATAAAAGTAAGGAAAAAAGTACAAAAGGCAAAAATTGGGGAATGCAGGATACTTTTTCTATGCAAAGTAATTGAAGACACTGTTTTTAGAGCCAAGAACAAGGGCAAAAAGGCAGCTTGAAATTATACATTCTGATATATGTAGACCTAGAGAGCCAGAGACATGTAACAGAAATAGGTATGCAATGACAGTCTTAGATTTTACTAATTTCGTGATGATATATTTTATGGTATCATATACTGAAGCATTATAGAGATTGTTTAATTGTGTTGCAGCAGCAGAAGCAAAGTGGAATAACATACAGATTTAAATGCAATAACGGAAAAAGGAGTTTACCAGCGGAAAATTCAAGAATTGGTGCAGACAGAAAGTAATTATACAGGATTATACGACACTGTATACACCTCAATTGAATGGAAAGGCTTAATCGAATATTACTGAATAAAACACGAGCACTTCTGTACCACTGAAGTGGAAAAGAAATTGTGGGTAGAAGCTGTGTATTTTGCAGCTTATCTGCAGAATAAAAGTTCTGCAAAAGTAATGAATACAACTACATATAGAAAGTGGGTAGGAGAAAGATCTCATATATAAATTATACGTTTTAGGAGAAACTAATATTTTTTGTTTGCAGATTCATTTTAAAGAAAGTAAACTCTGCAAGAATTACCTAATGAATATTACAGATTAGGATTTGTATTGACAATGTAATTAAATAAATGATACAGCATAATCTTTGTACTATTGAAAAGTATGGTTCAGTTTGATACTAGAATTACTAAAAAGGTGAAAAGCATAAAATATATAAGTATGTATAATTACCTTCCTATCTGAATGAAATGTAAACTAACTATTGTCAGAAGCAAATATATATTTACATTAATAAAATAAATAAGTATGTATAATTACCTTCCTATCTGAATGAAATGTAAACTAACTATTATCAGAAGCAAATATATATTTACAATAATTTATGCATTTATAAATTTATGCTTAAATAATTAATTATTAATAATTATTGCACAGAGGACATGAACTCATACCGAAGATGCAATTGGTTTTCCATTAATTACTAACTTCTATGCAATTAATTCATGAATTACAAGCACACAATATAATTATAGAAACAATATAAAAGTGCCATTTATTTCTTCGTAACAATAGTTTTTAAAATATAAGTGTTTGAAATAACATTTTAAAGTTACAAAAAGCAAAATTTTTAACAAATTTTACGAATTTACATAACTTACATAAACACATTATACAAATTTTGTAACTAACACATATATATATTATATATTACTATATAATATATCCTTATAATTAATTTAATAATTAATTTATTAATTTGTACGCTTTCTGTAGTGGGAGATAAGTACTTTTTAATTTATTATTTGCATAACAGAAATATATTTGTATTTGCATCATTGTTATTAATAAATATAAGATATCGTTTGATGTTCTACATCGATACTTTAGCACATGGCTATCTGAAACACGAAGCATTTTCCCACGAAAACAAGCATAGTCTGTCCAACCACAGCCCATTTTTAGTCGACGTCAATCCAATATGCCGGTAACACGTGGTGGAATATTTACTCGCGTTAAAGTGAAACTTTCAGTGTCAGAATAAAACATTTCGTAAAGTAGTGTTATTATTGTTCAGTGTTTTAATTACTGCAACTGACGAAATAAATATTCAACTACAATAATAGGCGGTATCCGTTATTATTTTGGATCAATGAACAACTTTTCCAACATCTTTTTGTATTTACGAAAGGACCACAGGAGAAGTTTAAGAAATCGAAAGAACTTTACCAAGAGCAGGATAACTAACTACGAACATTTGTTCGGTAGTAATATAACATATGTGGAAAAAAATGAAGTTACATAGTGCAAATCGTCTAACGACACATGTGCGACATGAATTAGTGCAAGTGCGAATCATATAATAGAACAGTATAGTCACGTGTCATCGATTGTAGATTACAGAACTCGATCGTCCACTGGGATATTGGTTACCATTACTCGGCACAGGCAGTTTCTTAATAGTTTTCCTATTCTTTCTTTGATTTCGACGGTACTTATGTGAAATAAAGTGATGCAAGTGCAAGTGGGTATCAAATTATGCTGTGTTGTTACGTGTTATCGTTATCATTTAGATAATAGAAATTTCGATTTTGCATTGACATATTTTAATATCACTCGTTAGAATAGAATGTTTCATGATCAGTAGGCCAATTTCCTTACGATTTGGACCTTTCATTTTCGACATATAGGGACGGAAGTGTGATTGCATGTAAAATCGAATTATCCCGTTACCTTTCTTCGCTTAGGTATATGAAATTCCTGCTCCGTATTAGAATATCTTGTTATGACCTATTACAGTAGACTCTTTTCTAATCAGCGGACCTATCTTTTCTCGAGTTTCGCCGTTTCTTTTTTCTAAATACTGACTCGAAAGTAGAAGTGTGTGGCAGGTCGTACTGCGTTGTTATCTCTTGTGGCTCAGATTCTCGAAACATCGTTTTTTTGATAAGGTTTCTTCATTATCACTCGTTAGAACAGATCGTTCCCTAATTAGTTAGCCGATTGTTTTTCGGAAATGAAAAAAGATTGCAGAAAAACGTCGGAAGCATTCTTGTGTCCATGCAGGTGTTTCTGCATCATGCAGTAGAATGTAAGTTTTTGTTTTCACATAACCTTCAATTGAAAATAAATAAGTAGTTTTATGTAAATAAGTAAGATATAAGCCATTCTTTTTCTATGTGTTATTAGTTGTAGCTGAGCCTGGGTTTGTAAAGACAAGATTCTGTTTCAGTAGGACAAAAATATAGTAGTAATTATTTTTTATGAGAAGTCAAGGTTGATGTAGTAATATAAATAAGTAAGTTATATGTCTTTTGGACTCTAGGTCAACCAGTCATATGAAATGCAAAACAGATATATTTATTGGTAAAATAAGGATTGAGAAAGGAAGGTGAGTTTGACAGATACAGAGATATACAGAATACAGTGAGATTGAAAGGTATGTTGTGTTCCTCATCTGAATAAATATTGATATCAGTGGTCAAAGTCAATGACCAGCACTAATGTGTTAAGTTTCAGAAAGATGAAGTTGAAGTATGTAAGGAAAATGGAGAAGTTCAATTGAAAGCATTGAGAAGAGGAAATCCATATTATGTGGATCAGAAAATATAAACGAAGAAGCATATGGATCAACAAAGAAAGGTGTGTAGCATCGATGACTAAGTCATGCAAATATAAGGATTATTGAAGAGATGGAAAATAAATAATTAGTAATAGTTATGAAGAGTAAAGATAAATTCAATATAGAATTTAAATGTTGCAATAATGCAAAAATCTGGAGAAATATCTATAGAAACTTGGAAACTATAAAAGCGGCAGTATTAATGGGAATGTGGCACGTCATGGACTATATTGGGCTAATAAAGGCAATGTCAAAAGAAGGTAAAAGGTATG